TTGTAGCAGCCTTAAAAACTGTTGTTTTAAATAATTTTTCCGTTTTGATCTCCAATTGTGAAAACAAGTATGAAAATTTTGACAATTTTCGAGGATTCTTAAAAAAAATCCGCACACAGCATTCAAAACGAAGAAAGTGAATCGTTTAAGAATATCGATAAGTGTACTTTTTCTTTATTTTATCAACTGCATTATGTTGTTCATTTTGTTTTTTCCAGCAGTTATTAGTCGAATGATCTGACTTATCACACCACTGACAGATTACAGAAGGTTTATTCTGATTATTGTTATTATTATTAGTTCGACAACTTTTAGCATTATATCCTGATCTAGAATCTAGATCTATTTGACAAATAATATTATTTCCCTGTAAAAAGTTAACGGATTGTCGTGCTTGAGGGTCGCAAAGTGAACATTTGTCAGCGCTGTGTCTGCGTTTCTTGCAGACTTGACATATTAAAATCTCTGTTCCAAAATTAGTTAATTTTCTACAGTTTGAAGCTAAATGTCTTTCTTTATAACAAATCTGACAAGTTTCCCGTAATTTATTCGTATTCAGCGCTTTACTCGATGTACTTTCTTGATTCTTTCTTAAATCTGTCATCGCATGGAGTTCTCTTTCTAATCGTAATGCATCGGCTATCGTTTCTTGAACACCTAAATTTCTTGTTATTTTTTGCTCAATTTCTGGTTTTAATCCTCTAATAAAACACTTACACATATCTTTTTCTAAAGATGATTTTATACTTTGATCGGAAAGGGTATTCTCGAAATTTTATGGGCTTTCATTATTTGGTTTCCTAAAATCTTTACCCGATTTGATATGTGATTACGTCCTCATTCTGTTGATAAATACGGCCCAACTCGCCTTGCAGCTGGTATATATTTTTTGAGGCGCCATAAACTTATTTTAAATATTTTGTTAATTGTGCCACACTGTTAAAATATAGATCTTGTATAGTGCGATGCGCTTCACCCACAATTCTCGTTCTTATATTTTTTGTGAATTGCGATTTAGCTTCATCCGGTAACATGGATTTTGCTTCCTCGCATCCCTCAATAAAATAGTTTAAAGGGATGTTTTTGCCGTCGAAAAAACGTACGGCTTCGACAGCATATTTTAAGGTAGTGAATAAATTTTGATGCGTCATTGTTTCGTTAGGTCCCCTCGATTTAGGGACAGCCACGACTGTTTTATGTTTATTCTCAAACGTAATACCACCGAATTCGCGCGCGGGTTGAGTGGTTATGTCCTTTGAGTCGGCGGAATCGTCAAGCACAAGAGAATTTTAGAATTATCTGAAATCTCTGATTCATTCAAAGAGAATTCCGCCATTTCATATTTAGATTCGGAGGATTTGAGGGGAGTAGAGGTGTGTAATGTGTTCTGTGTACTTGACTTTAAGTTATTCAGATTTTCTATAGCAGTTTTATAAAGGCTTTCTACTTCAGATTTATCACCAGAATTTCTCGTATTCATTCCCGTTTCATTTCATTCATTTTCTAAAATCGCACTTGTATTCCGGCTGAGCCCCCAAAAATTCATTTGGTCTGTTACGTCCAAGCCCTTGGAAGTTTAGACGAGGAGACAATGGAGAGGGTATGGAAGGATGGCTAGACTCAATCTCAGGTATACGCGTGTAAGCGAAACATCTGTGAGTCATACGCATCTTTTCGGTCTCGGAATATGGGTCAACGTCCCGAAGGGGCGCTACATTGTTTCGATGGACAATACACGACAATGAACGTTGGTTCTACTTTTTGGATCAAGGAACTTAATCCTTTTGACCTGGGACCTCGTGCGATCTCAGGTGTTTAGAGGGAAAGGGACGCAGATTGGATGGTGATTTAAATAAACGGAAATGGGGAATTTTCATTCATAATATAACGATCTATATTTATTATAAAAAAAAAGTTTAATTTATGATGAATAATTGTACATATATTAGGTGTACAACTTTGATTCCGCCGTTTTTTTTCCGAATTCGAAGCTTTATTGTAAAAAACTGGTTATACATTTATGATTCAAAGTATTGTCCATCGCTGGCCACTACTTTCTCCCATCTTTCAGGTAGGTACGAATCCCGCGTCGAAAAAACTGGTCATCTTTTGAAGCTATCCACGAATCGATTTTTTACTTCTTCATAAGATCGGAAGTGCTGATCAGTCAGGCCGTGTGCCATTGATCGAAACAAATGATAGTCAGAGGGAGCAACGTCTAGAGAAGTCGGCGGGTGGGGTAGAACTTCCCATTTCAACGTTTCCAAGTATGTCTTAACCACT